ATGTGCATTTAGAGTCTCCAATAAAGGAAACAGACAAACAGGGACAGAGCAATACAATTTAATATGAAAATCTGGTTAAACACTTTGAAAGCTAGAACAGCAAAAAAGGTAATATGGTTGATACAGAAACAGTAATGACAAGAAGTAGCTATCATTTTCAAGGGCAGGGAAACAAAAATAATGAGCCATCAAATAGAAGTTTGCAGAGAGGGTTTCTGAGCCTGCAACTCAGATCTCTGAAGAGGAGTGGTATCCATCTGTGCTGGTATTTCAGGAGCTTAGATAAAGGATCTTGCTGAACTAAGAAGGGGGACTTTCTAGCTTCTGCTGGTTTGTCTGAGATGGCGTGATGAGGCTAGTTCTGGACCTGCTGAGGAAAACCTCGAAAGTGAAACCCTAGCTATTGCCGGAGTGAACCTGAGCAGTCTTCTTTTAGTACCAGAACCTAAGAGGGGTCAGCTGGCGAAGAAGAAATGCGCTTTCCAGATTCTGCCATCACAAAACATAAGGGTAATTTATGGGTAAGAGAGAGTAGCTTGATAACCAGCACAAGTGTGAGTCTCCAGCAGGATCGATGTCAAAGAAACCACATCTAGGCATTTCACAATAATTTTTTTATTGAAAACCAAAGACAAATGAAAAAATTTAAAACAGCCTGAGACAAAAGACAAATTACCTTTAAATGATGCCTTCTTTAGACACAGGTAACTACTGCTGGAATGGACTGCCACTCATTCTCCACAGGGTAAGGTTCCTGCAAAGTCTAGATGATATACAATAACCAGTATATCCTATAAATAATGCTCCAAACATCTGAGACCTCAGAATTCCTTGCCCAAACACCTTCAGGTCCAGTTCCAGGTCTCTTGGTTCTCTTTCCACAGTGGTATGCCACTTCAGCCTGAGGAGCATTCCTACAGCTTGATTGTGTGCAGTTGATTATTTAAACATGCAAAGACTCTCTGTCCATGACAGACACAAATAAAACCAAATCATACCCAACCCACTGCCATAGAGTAAATTCTGACTCATGGCGACCTCATAGGACAAGGGAAAACTGCCCCATACGGTTTCCAAAGCTGTAAATCTTTATAGAGCAAACTGCTTCATCTTTCTCCCACAGTGCTACTGGTGGGTTTGAACCACCAATCTTTTAGTTAGGAGCCCAATGCTTAACCACAGTGCTACCAGAACTCCTACTGAGGGACACAAAGATAGGGGGAAAAAGGAGTTGCCTGGGATCATGGGCCTCCATTTGTACTTTTAATCAGGGGAAAAAATGTCAGGGTAGGCCTGCCTTCAAAGGAGCAACCATTACAACGAAAACTGATTTCTCAAGAGAACTGATGACAGCTATCTTGAAGCAACGTCACAAAGTCTGCTTAAGTAAAATCAAAAGAAGTTTATCGAGGGATAGATATGGTCTAGACCAGAAAGATAAATTCACAGAGTGAAAATGGCTGCTTCACTGGACAGTAAGACAAAATACATTTTTGTACAGTTAGAGCATGAATTAAAAAGTTATAAAATCATAATTGGCTTAAAGACAATCAGGAGACAAAGGTTGGATAACTAAAAGCAGGGATTTAGTAGGGATAGGTGGATAAAACATATGTGGGATTACATGATTAGTTAAGGGTATATGCCCTTCAATTTATTACAGGATAGCCACAGGACAAGGAGCTCTGGTTGTACAGCGGTTAAGGCATTCTGCTGTTAACCAAAAGGTCAGAGGTTAGAACCCACCAGCTGTTTCGCTGTTCTACTCTGTCCCATGAGTCTATGGCAGTGGATTTGGTTACATTTGGTTTGGTCACAAGACAGTGGCAGGGCAGGCCTCTCTGGCAACCTGTTTAGTAAAATTGCTTCCTCAGTCTTACCTGTTTCTGGGTATAATGCTGAGCTATTGCATCTTTAAAAGACTGTAATATCCCATGACTGCCAGACCTCAGAGAAAAGGAATTATCTCCTTTAGGGTATATGGTCAGCATCAAGGTTAGAGGAACTACTTTACAAATATAGATTTAAAATTCAGAATGGATTCCAGATTCATGCCAAGACTTTAAAAATAGAGTTAAGGGTCTACTTTCACACTTCTCTAGTTACACACACCAAATGCCTTTGATTTTAGACTCCTATACACAACTTCAGGAGCTATGCTAGCATAGTGCCTAAGGCACTTGACTGCTAACCAGAAGGCTGGCAGTTCAAACCCACTAGCCACTCCTCAGAAGGAAGATGGGGCAATCTACTTCTGTAGTGATACTGCCCCAGAAACTCAAGGAGGGGTCGCTGTGAGTTGGGTCCCACTCCACAGCACATAACAACAACATACACAATTTAAAACAATGAGTTAATATTTTGAAAATATGATAGAAAAAAAAAAAGACCCTACAGTTCTATGTTTAGGATATACACCTCCAAAATGAAGGGGAGGCTCCTCTACCTACTTATCTTTTATCAAAGTTTCACAGCGCAGGAGGCGGAAGTGAAGCGGCTGCAGAAGCAGATGCCTGGCACCATTGGACTGTGTGCGCTATAATTGCGCGAGCCCCCGGCCTTGTCATCCACAGGCATCGTTGGGCAGCAACACCCACACACAGACCGTTTGAAGGTGAGTGCTAGGAGGGGCGAGGACAGCAAGGAAGACAAGAAGCTGAGGCTTAAAAAAATATAGCCTAGCCCATCATTCCTCAGTCCCTAGGATATCTGAACTTACCTCCTCTTCTAGCCTCTGTGGGGCTTTTACCTCACTGGCCATGTACTGTTGCCTGCGTGAAGCGTGTCTGCCCTATGCCAGGTCCATTGTCTTGACCTCAGTGGCAGCTAGTTCAACTGCGTTTTGGGGCTGGACCCGTGAGCAGGCCGTGGCCACCATCCAACAAAGTTCAGGCCACTCACCCTGCGACACTGCAGCAAGGCACATCAAATTGTGAGGACAACCCCAGCTTTTCCAAGATGGTGGAGATCTTCTTTGACCGTGGCATCAGCATCATGGAAGACAAGCTAGTGGAGTTCATCAACACCCGGGACAGTGAAGAGCAGAAGAGGAAATGCGTACGGGGCATCCTGCATATTATCAAGCCCTGCAACCATGTACTGAGTCTCTCCTTCCCCATTCGGCTTGACAGCGGCTCCTGGAAGGTCATTCATGGCTACCGAGCCCAGCATAGCCAGCACTGCACTCCCTGCAAGGGTGGCATCCGTTACAGTGCAAATGTGAGTGTAGATGAAGTAAAGGCGTTGGCTGCTCTAATGACATATAAGTGTGCTGTGGTTGATGTGCCATTTGGGGGTGCTAAAGCTGGTATTAAAATCAGTCCCAAGAACTATACTGATAATGAATTGGAAAAGATCACAAGGAGATTCACCATGGAACTGGCAAAGAAGGGTTTTATTGGCCCTGGTATTGATGTGCTTGCCCCAGATATGGGCACTGGTGAGCATGAAATGTCCTGGATTGCTGACACCTATGCCAGCACCATAGGGTATTATGATATTAATTCACATGCCTGTGTTACAGGTAAGCCCATCAGTCAAGGTGGTATCCATCCATGGACGTATCTCTGCTACTGGCCATGGTATTTTTCTTGGTATTGAGAACTTCAACAATGAAACTTCTTATATGAACATTTTAGGGTTGACACCCAGGGCTTCAAGATAAAACATTTGTTGTTCAGGGATTTGGTAATGTGGGCCGTTACACTATGAAATATTTACATCGTTCTGGTGCTAAATGTATTGGTGTTAGTGACTCTCATGGGGGCTTATGGAATTCAGATGATATTGACCCAAAGGAACTGGAGGACTTCAAATTGCAGCATGGATCAGTCATGGGTTTCCCCAAGGCAAAGCCCTATGAAGGAAGCATCTTGGAAGCTGACTGTGACATACTGATTACTGCTGCCAATGAAAAGCAGTTGACCAAAGTCAATGCACACAAAGCGAAGGCCAAGATCATTGCTGAAGGTGCCAATGGACCAACAACTCCAGAAGCGGATAAGATTTTCCTAGCAAAGAATATTCTGGTAATTCCTGATCTCTACTTGAATGCTGGAGGAGTGACAGTTTCTTATTTTGAATGGCTGAAGAATATAAATCATGTCAGCTATGGCCGTTTGACCTTCAAATATGAAAGGGATTCTAACTATCACTTGCTCAGGTCTGTCCAAGAGAGTTTAGAAAGAACCTTTGGAAAGCACAGTGGAACTATTCCCGTTGTACACACAGCAGGGTTCCAAGACAGAATATCAGGTGCATCTGAGAAAGATATCGTGTACTCTGGCTTAGCTCCCACTATGGAGTATTCTGCCAAGCAAATCATGAGAATGGCCAAGAAATATAACCTGGGAATGGATATAAGAATGGCTGCCTATGTCACTGCCATTGAGAAAGTCTTCAGGGTATACAATGAAGCTGGTTTGACCTTCAAATAGATGGATCATATCTGAGTTCTTTACTACCCTTTTCACTTGTAACTTCTGCAAACCTATCACAAGTTTACATGTAACCATAAGAATCTTTTTCTCTCCTGACACCTTTTCAACAAGTGAATCCAAGCTATACCTTTAAGGTTAGGAGATCATATACAAGCTAATGAGTGTGAAAGTAGAAATTGCCTGGGACAGAAGGCCGCTTGGGTATTTGACATCTTAAAGAAAAGCCTCTTCCATCTACTTATGCTGCCTTGCCCCATGGCTGCTTCCCAGCACATCAGTTACCTGTTGTTTGGGATGAGCACTTGATCTCCAAGAACAGTCATGTGCTTGCATTCTTTTGTTCTGGTCAAGTCTGGGATATGCAGTAACTCTGACATGTTTGAAAAGTGGTTATATGGCATTTTCAGAAGATGTCATATTTCTAAAGTGAGTTATTGTTATTTTATATTAGCGAATTTTACAGGTTGCAAATAAAAACAAAAGCTGTTTCTCTTCATGTGTTTCAGTCTTTTAGAATGAAATTAGTACATGCTGCTAAAATAAAATTTCTTTTAATCACTTAGCAAGTCTAACCTTGACTCAGGTAGTGAATAACTATAAAAGTAAGTATAAAAAGCTACTACTTTCAAAACAAAACAATATCATTTATAGCTCATCGGTTGTGTATTGTCCTGCAAAATAAAAAGCCAGACATGAATTACATTATCTTCATAATTGCAGATTATCGGGGCTATTTTTGTTGACACTATTGAATTTGCTAAAAACAACACATAGTCCAAAGAATCTAATAACTTCTTTGTTAATAAACTTTTCTTTTGAAGATTTATTGTGTTGTTCTATTGAACAATAATTTAAGTAGAGCAACCCAGAACTATTTGCTCTCCCTTTTGGGAGTCTAAGGAGCTCTGGTAGTGCAGTGTCTAAGGCTTTGACTGCTAACCAGAAGGTTGGCAGTTCAAACCCACCAGCCACTCTGTGGAAGGAAGATGGGGCAGTCTACTTCCATAAAGAATTGCCAACTCAGAAACCCAATGGAGGTCGCTATGAGTAGGGATGAACTCAATGGCAGTGAGTTAGTGAGTTGGGAGTCTAGCTGGCTGCTCTGGGCATTGACTATGGATCCAATTCTGCCTGACTGTGTCCCTCTTCTTTCAGAGGTCTCACATTCAGCACACAAGGTTAACAAAGTGGGACTTAAAACAATATTGGATTGGGTATTTTGTTTGCAAGTGTTAAAAATAATCAAAACTCACTTGGAGGACATTATGCTGAGTGAAATAAGTCAATCACAGAAGAACAAATATTATATCAGTCCGTTACTGTAAAAATCAAGGAAAGGTTTATATATGGAAGGATATTTTCTTTGTTGGTAACCAGGGGTGGGCGGGAAGGGGAAGGAGCACTCTTAGATAGGTAGAGACAACTATTGATTTGGGTAAAGAGAAGGGCAATGTACCAAATGTGAGTGATCAACATGGTGGCATTGAGGAAGAGGAAGACATAGAGAGGTACATGGGAGGTACAGACAACAAATCTTGATATGATTGATTGAACCCTGCCCTCCACCTTTTTATTGAGATCAACTGATAGCAGGTCACAAGATGATCTCTGGCCCTCCAGTCAGTCATACCTTTTAAAATTCAAATTTAGTAAGCCTGGCCTCAAACAGAAAAGAAAAAAGATTAGCAACTTTTCAAAAACAATGAAAGTCACTGCCATCCAGTTGATTCTGTGTCCTAGTAACCCCCTTTGGGTTTCTGAGGCAGTAAATCTATATGAAAGTAGATTCCCCAGTCTACCTTCTGCAGAGTGACTGATGAGTTTGAAACACCAACCTTCTGGTAAGCAGTCAAATGGCTTAGGCACTATGCCACCAGAACTCCTTTAGCCACTGTTAGTGAAAAACAACAGCCCACCACCTCTGGCAGGATTAATTTTGGTCAGGATTTTTTTTTATAGCGAATATTTGGTTTCATGAATAAGAAAATCTTAAAATCAAAGTACGAAGTCTGTTAATTTTTCTCTTTGACAAAGTTATTTGGCCAGGACCTTTTGAAAATTAGCATCTCAATGAAGTACTAAACCAAACCCACTGCCATTGATTTGATTTCCACCCACAGAAGCCCTGTAAGACAGAGTAGAACTCTGCATAGGGTTTTCAAGGCTGTAAATCTAGGAAAACAGACCACCTCATCTCTCTCCAGCAGAGCAGTTGGTGAGTTTGAACCCCAGCGTTTTGGTTAGCAACCAAATGTCCTAATCACAGTGCCACCAGAGCTCTTAGATATTATGTATGTAATGGATAAGCTCTTTTTTCTTTTTAATAGTAATATAGAAATTTCTAACTAATTTGTAACTACATGATTGAACATGATAATAAAAGCAGTTATTAAAAGTGTACCTTTTAAAAAATAACCATGAAGGTGCAATATTTTCAGACAAACAACTGAGGACATTTAGCACTGAGCACACTTGTCTAGTAGCAATACTAAAATGATTTCTTCTTATAGAGGGAAAATGTTCCTAAATGGAAACATTGAAATGACAGTGATAAGTTAAGACAATTGAAAACAGGTGTAAATTTAAATGAGTATTGATATCTGCAGTAACAATAATATATATATCTGTACAAATATATATATATACATACACATATATATCATGTATATAGAGATGTGTGTGTATAAATACATATAATCAAAATATATGATAAAAGATTGAAAGAGGTAAAGTTGGTAAAAAATGCTGAGATCTTTGCATTGTCCAGAAGTGGTAAAAGTGCTACTTTATAGGATGCCTGTAGTAATACCTAGGAAAACAACTAACAGGAGAGTAAAAGAACCCCTCCTAATTGGCAGAGAAAAGAGAGTAATAAAAAATCAGTTAATCCAAAACATGGCAAGAAAGGAAAGAAAAAGCACAGAACAGGTGTGATAGAGAACAAATGGTGAGATGGGAAATTTAAATCCAACTATAACAGTAACTACATAAATTGTAAATGGATTCTGAATAAAAGATAAATATTACTAACTAAATTCTGCTTAAGAGAGTCATACCTTAATATCAGGTACAGAAAGGTAGTCAATAAAAGAATAAAAAATGCTGCATTTTGAAAAAAAAATTAAAAAAGAGAGCTTGTAGGACAACAAATGTAACTTTGCTAGGACCTCTCCTTTATCCATTCCCAGGAGGAGATGTTAAGGGTTGGAGGTAAAGAATCATAAGAGTACTGTAGTAGAGTGCCACTTGTAATCAGTGACAGTTTGGACACATGCCACAAGGTCAGTATTCAACCCAGAGGTGTTTTAGGAATACATACAGTCTAGTTCAAAGGAATAGAGAGAGCATTTTGAGTAGCAATGTTCCTTTAAACTCAGACATACAAATAATCTTGGGCCTGGAACCATTGGAACTGAGAGAAAGAGAGAAAAGAGAGAAAGAGAAAGGAAGACAAAAAGAAAGAGAGGGAGAGATGGAGGGAGGAGGAAAGAAGAAGGGAAGAAAGAAAAAGGGAAGAAAGAGGGAAAACTTTGTGATGTGGGAAAGCCAGAAAATTTTATCACAGAATTATTGCCTACCTCCTCTCTCTAACTTCTAATGTCCAGAAATACCTCTAAAGAGGTTTCACCTTTCCAATTCCTCATTTTCAGATAAGGCTCACGTTTACCTAGCTGAGCTAGGCAGCCCTTCATGATCTTATATCTTCAATAAAAAATGTTTTAATAATTTACAGCTCCATAGGCTTTAAAGAGTCCTTTTGACATAGAGCCGTTGAAATGTGTTCCTTGATTCAGTGAGGTACATGTTATGGGTTCAAATTGATATAAAAAAATATCTGTTTCCAGGGCCTGGATGACATTTCATCTTTTGCTTCAGTTAAAGAGTAACAAATCCCAAGGAAAAATGTGTCTATTTTTGTTAAAATTCTTCTGAATCTTCCAGAAAGCATAGCAGTGGCCCTATGTACAACATATGCTAGCTTTGCCTCATCTTGTCTTTTGTGGGATTCTTCTGAAGGTCAATTTCAGATGGTTTTTCTCTTAATGTTCAGGTCAGTCTCCTGCCCCATTCGTGGCTATGGTGAGTGACAGTGGAATATGTTGTAACATTCAGTGTAGCATTGCTTGGACACTACCATGCATGCCCATCTCATGTACCCAAATGACTACCTCCAGAGGGTGGACCAAGGCATCCATCCTGGCACTTTAGTTCTTCCCTGAGCCAGTAATTGGTTTCTTTTGGTGGCCATCCATATGATCAACTTTAATTTTCTTTCCGAATTTTCGTAGCCTTTCCAAAATTGCATTGTCACATCATAGTGGTCTTTAATTGTTCATTCTTCAAACATTCCTAAGCCAGACCATAAGTCAAGGCCATTGGCTATCACCAAGGAATTTGTGACTATCCAGACATTTTTATATAGTATTTTATATCACTTAGAACTTTGTCCTAAGAGAAGAAATGGAGACATTTTTTTGTATTATTATGTACACTGCTTCCAGTTCAGCCTATTATGCAGAATTGTTTGCCTTTTTCAACTGGGGTTTTACTGTATGGTGGAAAAATAGTACTGGATTTCCATATAAAGTCCCATTCTTCAATATAAGAACTTCCATTTGTGAGGCATGCAGCCCATTACATTTCAGTGGAAAGGGAATCACAAGATTCAGACCATTCAACAACTGGAGCGAGTTGTTCCTTAGGGTGTTCTATCATTAATAGTAGAGTTAGGGGCTACCACTCATGGATATGATGCAACCACTCCCATTCCCATTGCTATTCAGTCAATTCCTACTCATAGCAATGCTATAAGGCAAAGTAGAACTGCCCCGTAGGATTTCCAAGGTTGCAATCTTTAGGGAAGTAGACTACTGGTAGGTTCAAACTGTTGACCATTCAATAAGCAGCTGAGTGCTTAACCACTGCACTACCAGGGCTCCTACACCAACTCTATTTTAGCATAACCCTGAATTTAACATTTTTATCAAAGGATTTTG